AAAAAAGATTTCGTTTTTCGATGTAATTCGAACAAATTCAATTCGTATGAGCCCGCTGAATTATGAACACGTGCTATTCAGTTAAAAAAGCTTCTTAGCGCAGCCCCTTTGGGGCTAAAATGTGGAACTCACATATATCCCTTCGGCTTACTTAAATAATTCAAAATAATTCATCTAAAAATCTACCCTGATGTCCAAACCCTATAATTAAATCATTGCCTATTTGCACTTGTGTCTCTAATTGAGTATTAATTTTTAGCTCATATATTTAACAAGGATAGAGACTGGTTACTATGGTCTGTAATGGTACCCTAAGCTAGTTACTATGGTATGTAATGGGAAAACATTGCTTTTTACGTGTAGTCTGTAATTGAAAAAGGAACAAAAAAACAGCCTAATTAGTCAAGCTCCTAATTAGTACAATTTTGAACTCATTAATGCCTGTAATGGGGAGGGGGACGGGGAGCCGCAAAAATCTCGCCTTTAAACTTACACTCACCATTTTCTTCAAAAATATATGTGCGTTCCACAAATGATTTCGTAAAATGTCAACGGAACCAGTGTTCGTTATCAAGACTTTGCGACGCTTTCATAGTTTTTGCAATTAACTCTTCACCAGTTTATTATCTATGTCAATCGTTCCTATAGCTTATCGATGTTGCTGAGTCCAGATCCGTTATCAGTTTTTTCCCTCTGAGCTTTCATGACTGAGAAAATCGGTCGAACTAGAGTCCAAAATTCACAAGGTAGACTTTTTATTTCAACTCCAATCCCAATTCTGGTCAAACTTTCCTATAGGTTATCAAGGCCCTAGGATCCAAATCGGTTATCAGTTCATGCGTTAACCGTTGGAGTATCTGTTCATATGTTACGCACCTGGGTATCTGTTTATACGTTACCCATTGTGGGTATTTTTTTATATGTTACCCAATTGGGTATCTGTTCATACATTATCCAACTGTGTATCTGTTTATACGTTACGCGTTTGAGTATTTGTTTATATGTCACCAACTTGGGTAGCTGTTCATACCTTACCCACCTGGGTGTCTGTTTATATGTTACCCACCTGGGTGTCTGTTTATATGTTACCCACCTGGGTGTCTGTTTATATGTTATCCACCTGGGTATCTGTTGAAGCGTTACCCATTTGGATATCTTTTTACACGTTACTGACATGGTATCCCCAAGTGGGTGACATGTAAACAAATCCCCAAACCGGTATCGTCTTAATAGTTACCCAGGTTGGTAACGTATGCAAATACGTTATTCGGCGTAGAAAGGTTAACGTTGATGAAAATCGGAAAAGTTCACATTTAGAGCCGTTAAGAATGCGTGGATTTATAAATGGTAAAAAGGTGTAGTTTTCGAACGGTTGAAAACGGTTAAGTTTTGAAAGCATTAATCTGCGTAGAAAAGTTAACGTAGATAAAAATCAGGAAAAGCGCACATTTTCATGCGTTAAGAACGCGTTGATTTGTAAACAGTAAAAATGCGTAGATTTGCAAATGGTATTTATGCGTAGATTTCTAATTGATAAATATGCGCCGATTTTAAACGCGTTCAGTATCGTAGAGAAGCTAACGGAAATAAAATCGTAGAAATGTGCGGTTTTGACGATTTTATTGTCGTTAAAATTTCTACGTGTATTTCACCGTTTTTTTTTTTAATTTTGTCTGTCTGGGTACAATTTTCCATCCATATTTTGGCCATATAAATTTTTGCAGCCGTGGCACCAAAGCCAGAAATGCCGCCCCAAATATCAACATTTCCACCATCGCCAGTGTTTGTTTGTTGTATGGATTCAGGAAAAAGTTTTTCTTTTTCTAAACGCCATATTTTGCATTGAGTTTTTCGTTTTAACATAAAATGTCGATTCATCTGAAAAGATCACCTTTCGCCAATCATCCGGTGTCCAATGCATATACCGTGTACATCAATCATCACCTTGCTGTCGATGTTTGTTACTGAGTCATTGTTTTTATCTTGAAGACGTATTCATACCCATGATCTCTTAGAAAACGACGTACCGTTCTTGTTGAAACTGGTTTTGGCAAGCTAGCGTTCACGTCCGACGTAATTTTAGCCGCACTAATACGTCTATCATCCTTGACCAGTCGCTTCAGATGTCGAACGCCACAACTTGGAATTCTTTTTGGACGGCCAGTAGGTAGAAAGTCATTGTATTGACCCGTTTTCTTGTATTTCTTTATAGCATTTTCTACGCAATGTCTGGAAATATTGCGTTGTCTTGCAATTTGAGTTTGGTTGAGTCCAGCATAAGGTAAGTCTACTGCCTGAGGTCGAACACTCGAGTCAACAGGTTTTTTGCCCATCGATGATTCGAATTATAGTTAGCAAATGAGAGAGTAATCCAATATAAGAAAAAAATATTTATTCTGTGTGTTTTTCGAAAGAAGTAGCAGCGTGGTAGATAATGCTCTAAACTTTTGTCAGCTGGAGAAAAATAATGATCGTCACTGTTACCTGAGAAAAATGACTTGGATAATTCTAATATCACAGACTTATTGTCATTTTTGAGAGCTATCGAAATCACTATTAACTTGTCCTAAACAAGTTGCCCTTTATAGAAAAAAAATCAGAAACAAAGGTGCTCTAAACTTTTGTCCGCCACTTTAGATATACTTTAATATTATTTCCACCGGTTATATATTGTCGTTAGTTCAAATAAATGTATTACACGAGTAATTATTTCTAACATAAAAGCCATAATATTTAGTAATTTTTGTTTTACCTACCTTCTCTTTACTAAAATGGAAATAGCCCGCTCGAAACATACACGATAATCTAATCATTATTAACTGTCACGCACTATGAGCATAAAAATAATTTTAACTGCGCAATATTATTAAGAAAGTCGCATGAAAGTATTCAATTTCATTAATTAAAAATTGCTTGATAGTAACAATCATTTTTCAGATACCGATGATAATGTTGATACTCGATAAATAACATAATGATAACGTTCACCAAATGATTAGGACTTGCAAGCGTAAATACTGAGGGTTTGGCGGAAAAGGCAGAAAGGGAAAACATCGAAAAGGAAAACGTCGAAAAAAAAAGGAAAATGCCGAAAAGGAAAACATAGAAGGGGAAAATGCAGAAATTTTAAACGTCGAAAGGTAAATTTCGAAAATTGCGTTTTTTAATAATTTTAACGAAAAATAAAAATTAATTCGACTCCAGGTTGACTGATCCGACATCGGATCCGATAGGAACCTGGAAATATCCTACAATCCGATACAATTCTATTGGATTCCGGGTCGAGGAAAAAAATTACGAAA